TTTCGAACACTATTTTTCTCAAAATGCTAAAAAAACATACATGGACTCTGAGTTGTTTTGAATGATACTGATTTGATGTATCATATGTCTACATTTGTGCTGCAGTCTTCAATCCACAGGTATATGGATAATATTTGTCATCCCCCTTTTCTAGGAAGAGCTCAGATGTTTTAACTGATATTGAAGATCTTCACATCTAAAAGAAAACTTGTTACAGGTTAGCCCCACTGTTTCCTGATGTTTGAGAATTTGAAGATTTTTGGTTGTTTTTGTATTTTGAGCAAATGCTATTCCAGGTCACTGGAAACTACAGTATTTTCGAACACTATTTTTCTCAAAATGCTAAAAAAACATACATGGACTCTGAGTTGTTTTGAATGATACTGATTTGATGTATCATATGTCTACATTTGTGCTGCAGTCTTCAATCCACAGGTATATGGATAATATTTGTCTTCCCCCTTTTCTAGGAAGAGCTCAGATGTTTTAACTGATATTGAAGATCTTCACATCTAAAAGAAAACTTGTTACAGGTTAGCCCCACTGTTTCCTGATGTTTGAGAATTTGAAGATTTTTTGTTGTTTTTGTATTTTGAGCAAATGCTATTCCAGGTCACTGGAAACTACAATATTTTCGAACACTATTTTTCTCAAAATGCTAAAAAAACATACATGGACCCTGAGTTGTTTTGAATGATACTGATTTGATGTATCATATGTCTACATTTGTGCTGCAGTCTTCAATCCACAGGTATATGGATAATATTTGTCATCCCCTTTTCTAGGAAGAGCTCAGATGTTTTAACTGATATTGAAGATCTTCACATCTAAAAGAAAACTTGTTACAGGTTAGCCCCACTGTTTCCTGATGTTTGAGAATTTGAAGATTTTTGGTTGTTTTTGTATTTTGAGCAAATGCTATTCCAGGTCACTGGAAACTACAGTATTTTCGAACACTATTTTTCTCAAAATGCTAAAAAAACATACATGGACTCTGAGTTGTTTTGAATGATACTGATTTTATGTATCATATGTCCACATTTGTGTTGCAGTCTTCAATCCACAGGTATATGGATAATATTTGTCATCCCCCTTTTCTAGGAAGAGCTCAGATGTTTTAACTGATATTGAAGATCTTTACATCTAAAAGAAAACTTGTTACAGGTTAGCCCCACTGTTTCCTGATGTTTGAGAATTTGAAGATTTTTTGTTGTTTTTGTATTTTGAGCAAATGCTATTCCAGGTCACTGGAAACTACAATATTTTCGAACACTATTTTTCTCAAAATGCTAAAAAAACATACATGGACCCTGAGTTGTTTTGAATGATACTGATTTGATGTATCATATGTCTACATTTGTGCTGCAGTCTTCAATCCACAGGTATATGGATAATATTTGTCATCCCCTTTTCTAGGAAGAGCTCAGATGTTTTAACTGATATTGAAGATCTTCACATCTAAAAGAAAACTTGTTACAGGTTAGCCCCACTGTTTCCTGATGTTTGAGAATTTGAAGATTTTTGGTTGTTTTTGTATTTTGAGCAAATGCTATTCCAGGTCACTGGAAACTACAGTATTTTCGAACACTATTTTTCTCAAAATGCTAAAAAAACATACATGGACTCTGAGTTGTTTTGAATGATACTGATTTGATGTATCATATGTCTACATTTGTGCTGCAGTCTTCAATCCACAGGTATATGGATAATATTTGTCATCCCCCTTTTCTAGGAAGAGCTCAGATGTTTTAACTGATATTGAAGATCTTCACATCTAAAAGAAAACTTGTTACAGGTTAGCCCCACTGTTTCCTGATGTTTGAGAATTTGAAGATTTTTGGTTGTTTTTGTATTTTGAGCAAATGCTATTCCAGGTCACTGGAAACTACAGTATTTTCGAACACTATTTTTCTCAAAATGCTAAAAAAACATACATGGACTCTGAGTTGTTTTGAATGATACTGATTTGATGTATCATATGTCTACATTTGTGCTGCAGTCTTCAATCCACAGGTATATGGATAATATTTGTCTTCCCCCTTTTCTAGGAAGAGCTCAGATGTTTTAACTGATATTGAAGATCTTCACATCTAAAAGAAAACTTGTTACAGGTTAGCCCCACTGTTTCCTGATGTTTGAGAATTTGAAGATTTTTTGTTGTTTTTGTATTTTGAGCAAATGCTATTCCAGGTCACTGGAAACTACAATATTTTCGAACACTATTTTTCTCAAAATGCTAAAAAAACATACATGGACCCTGAGTTGTTTTGAATGATACTGATTTGATGTATCATATGTCTACATTTGTGCTGCAGTCTTCAATCCACAGGTATATGGATAATATTTGTCATCCCCTTTTCTAGGAAGAGCTCAGATGTTTTAACTGATATTGAAGATCTTCACATCTAAAAGAAAACTTGTTACAGGTTAGCCCCACTGTTTCCTGATGTTTGAGAATTTGAAGATTTTTGGTTGTTTTTGTATTTTGAGCAAATGCTATTCAAGGTCACTGGAAACTACAGTATTTTCGAACACTATTTTTCTCAAAATGCTAAAAAAACATACATGGACTCTGAGTTGTTTTGAATGATACTGATTTTATGTATCATATGTCTACATTTGTGTTGCAGTCTTCAATCCACAGGTATATGGATAATATTTGTCATCCCCCTTTTCTAGGAAGAGCTCAGATGTTTTAACTGATATTGAAGATCTTTACATCTAAAAGAAAACTTGTTACAGGTTAGCCCCACTGTTTCCTGATGTTTGAGAATTTGAAGATTTTTTGTTGTTTTTGTATTTTGAGCAAATGCTATTCCAGGTCACTGGAAACTACAATATTTTCGAACACTATTTTTCTCAAAATGCTAAAAAAACATACATGGACCCTGAGTTGTTTTGAATGATACTGATTTGATGTATCATATGTCTACATTTGTGCTGCAGTCTTCAATCCACAGGTATATGGATAATATTTGTCATCCCCTTTTCTAGGAAGAGCTCAGATGTTTTAACTGATATTGAAGATCTTCACATCTAAAAGAAAACTTGTTACAGGTTAGCCCCACTGTTTCCTGATGTTTGAGAATTTGAAGATTTTTGGTTGTTTTTGTATTTTGAGCAAATGCTATTCCAGGTCACTGGAAACTACAGTATTTTCGAACACTATTTTTCTCAAAATGCTAAAAAAACATACATGGACTCTGAGTTGTTTTGAATGATACTGATTTGATGTATCATATGTCTACATTTGTGCTGCAGTCTTCAATCCACAGGTATATGGATAATATTTGTCATCCCCCTTTTCTAGGAAGAGCTCAGATGTTTTAACTGATATTGAAGATCTTCACATCTAAAAGAAAACTTGTTACAGGTTAGCCCCACTGTTTCCTGATGTTTGAGAATTTGAAGATTTTTGGTTGTTTTTGTATTTTGAGCAAATGCTATTCCAGGTCACTGGAAACTACAGTATTTTCGAACACTATTTTTCTCAAAATGCTAAAAAAACATACATGGACTCTGAGTTGTTTTGAATGATACTGATTTGATGTATCATATGTCTACATTTGTGCTGCAGTCTTCAATCCACAGGTATATGGATAATATTTGTCATCCCCCTTTTCTAGGAAGAGCTCAGATGTTTTAACTGATATTGAAGATCTTCACATCTAAAAGAAAACTTGTTACAGGTTAGCCCCACTGTTTCCTGATGTTTGAGAATTTGAAGATTTTTGGTTGTTTTTGTATTTTGAGCAAATGCTATTCCAGGTCACTGGAAACTACAGTATTTTCGAACACTATTTTTCTCAAAATGCTAAAAAAACATACATGGACTCTGAGTTGTTTTGAATGATACTGATTTGATGTATCATATGTCTACATTTGTGCTGCAGTCTTCAATCCACAGGTATATGGATAATATTTGGCATCCCCCTTTTCTAGGAAGAGCTCAGATGTTTTAACTGATATTGAAGATCTTTACATCTAAAAGAAAACTTGTTACAGGTTAGCCCCACTGTTTCCTGATGTTTGAGAATTTGAAGATTTTTTGTTGTTTTTGTATTTTGAGCAAATGCTATTCCAGGTCACTGGAAACTACAATATTTTCGAACACTATTTTTCTCAAAATGCTAAAAAAACATACATGGACCCTGAGTTGTTTTGAATGATACTGATTTGATGTATCATATGTCTACATTTGTGCTGCAGTCTTCAATCCACAGGTATATGGATAATATTTGTCATCCCCTTTTCTAGGAAGAGCTCAGATGTTTTAACTGATATTGAAGATCTTCACATCTAAAAGAAAACTTGTTACAGGTTAGCCCCACTGTTTCCTGATGTTTGAGAATTTGAAGATTTTTGGTTGTTTTTGTATTTTGAGCAAATGCTATTCCAGGTCACTGGAAACTACAGTATTTTCGAACACTATTTTTCTCAAAATGCTAAAAAACATACATAGACTGATAGACTCTGAGTTGTTTTGAATGATACTGATTTGATGTATCATATGTCTACATTTGTGCTGCAGTCTTCAATCCACAGGTATATGGATAATATTTGTCATCCCCCTTTTCTAGGAAGAGCTCTGATGTTCCTTTCATCTTTAGCAATAGTGGACTGGGAGCATCATTGTTGTTCTTCTACACTTAATTTAATGTTTCAGTCCCCTTGGTATTGTAGTATATTGTAGGCTGATAAAGTGATAAGGCTGCATCTATCCATTTATCTAATTATATATATTCATTTATCTTATGTAGTGGAAGTAGTATATATATATTAGGCATCCTTTACCTTCTCATGTTCGAAATTGGCGTTGAATCTGTTCATGTAAACCATGGAATGAAGTGCTCTTTATTTGGTATAAAAGGAAGGGGAAATTCCCGAAATAAGAGTAAAAAAGTTTGGAAATTCCTGGAATAATGGTATAACCTTAATGGCCTTGTTTTGCTTGGAATTTGGAGGGGAGGGGATTTGCTTTGCGTTAACCCTATTACCTTGTTTTTTTAAAACAATAATAACACCATTATTTGATTGCCAAGACCCTTTGCTGTGTATCGTGCTGACATTTTTTTCTATTTCCTGCAAAAAATATACATAGGAAACAAAAAAAAACTATTCTTTGACTTTGTTTTGCTAATAAGAAACAAAACCATACTAAATCAAGATTATACAGAGCTCTTATCATTCGGTGGTAGGAGGATATTTGGGGGAGCTATTTCAGCTGAGTCAGACTGGAGCCCTTTTACTGGTTTGAATCTGGAACACCATTTAATGAGGAGATCTTTAATTTCAGCATCCATTCTTGTCCCTATACCTCCCCAAACTAGCATGTGCCCCACATCTCCCAGTGACTCACCCTTCACTTCTTGAACCACTTTGAACCCTATTCTTTTGTAGAATCTGACCAGCTACACAATCAAGATATAATTTATGAAGAAAAACATTCACATCCCAATGACCCGATTAGTAATGGAGATTAAATGTTTTAAAAATTCAGTTTGGTAAAGCTGAATTGGCTGTTTTTGATATTATGGCTAAAGTTGTTGAATCACTATCATTTCTTGATAATAAAGAAATATTAACATATAAATAATAATGAAATATTAGTGTCATCTTGAAACACACATTTAACAAGGCTATATTATGTGTCGCATTACATTTTTTATTTATACCATGATCTTTAGTATACGGAGTTAGACGCATTGACTAAATTTAATAAACCAATTGAGGTAGTTTTCTTTAGTTTCTTCAAAAAATGATATTAAATTTGAACTGCTACCCCTATCGAACTGCTCATTGAACTAGTGTTTTATGTCTCATTCAATACCATCCCTAAATTGTGATCTGGAATTCTGGACACAGCCCTTTTCCTCGAATCCTACAACCTTATTATTTCTCATAAAAATTTATACAAAAAAAAGTTAATATTGTATAATTTGGCTCATATTGAATTCCCTTCCCTTGTAGACCCTAACTGCCCTCTTTTAAGGGGGCCCGTAATGAAGATATGTACACACACCTCCTATAACAAAACAAATAGGTTAAAAATAAATCTTACTTTTGTACCACTCATAATTGCAGAATATTTTATTTATTAATCTATTACAAAATAAAAAAATACGTTGTATAACCTAATGTATAAACTTATAAATATGACTATTTAGTTTTTACTAGTAGTTATTAATCATACATATTAAGGATGTGTTGGCAAATATGGAAATGTTTCATTTACATAAGAAAAATTCATTTTTCTAAACAACTCAATTTGACCATGTTTGATGTCACATGACATAACATATAAAAATTGCTTGATTTTAAGGTTTTCCATATGAAAAATATAATACTGAAAGTATAATCACATAGGTTTTCCATAGAAGAGGTTGCAAATTCAAGTCACATCTCAATCAAGGATGTTGACATTAATAAGAGCAGATACTATAGTAGGTTTGGAAGAATGTTCCAAAAAAATATTTAACATTCAAAAGATGTGGAATGGAGTAATACTCATAAATAATCTTGTGCTATAAGCTGTTGAGCAGTTCACCATGACATCAAAAAGCATAATACCTTGGAGTGGCAAAGATGAGTGTCATTAATGGCGAGCAACTCAGCTTTGGTACAGCCACAATCATATCCATGCCTGATTGCCACTGCTCCAATAAAAACTCCTATCCCAAATAAGGACTTCTCCATCCAGACCGTCTCCTTCCTCAGCTTAATGGAGTCCAGATGCAGAATTTTGCCCCCAAACCATACCCTCGTTATCCCCTGAGCCACCCCAATCTCATTCTTGGTTTTAAGGTTTTTGGCTGTTACCCTAAAAAAGGGTCCCACCTTGGTGAGCTGGAGGTCAACATTCTGAGCTCTTGATGTCTCCATGATCTCTGGTATGGTTGGGATGGCAGAACTGATGATGAGTCTTGGTGGGGAGGGTTTGGGTCTGGGAAAAAATACCCATGAACCGTTGGATTTCTTGAATAGTGAATCTGGACCAATGGTTTTCCCTCTAGATGGTGACCCCAGAAATTTACGGCTTTTGGTGTTCATAACTGCTCCAATTCGACTTGCTTCCATTTCTGGTTCTTATCGGTCTCCAAGAAGGCCAGAAGAGAAAATGTGTACTAACTATATATCCTAGCTGGGTTGAATTCTAATAAGAGACATTTTAACGTGAGAAGTAAGAAGTTTCACATTTACTCTTTGTGTTGCGCTTTTTCGCTAATTTGATGCACTTTTTGCTGGGTTGGTTCGAATAAGATGACATCTTAACGTGAGAAGTGAGAATTTTCACATTTACCTCTTTGTGATGCACTTTTTCGCTAACCTGATGCACTTTTTGTGTTGACAGCAAAATTCCGATTTATTACGGAAATGCCACCGCGTCTTGCATCACTTTTAAATATTTTGGCACTTTTCCAGACATTAGATCTTAACTTGAACGCACTAGAAGCATTCTCACTTTTTACGTTAAACACTCTTCTAATTAGTTAGATCAATTCTTCCAAGTACTCTTCTTCAGTCATTCCATCCAAGTCTATGGTTTCACTAGCATTCCCACTTAAATTATTGCCAGATCTGTCTGAGTCCTTAGCTGATACATGAGAATTAGATGACGGTGTTTCATTAACGCTATCATCCTGGCGAACCCCTTTAATAAGAAACAAATAATAAAATTAAGGTTTGAATTATTACAAATGTTCTCTAAACAAGTTTTTCTCATAGAAAGAATTAAGGCAGGATTTATGAGCTTCCTGGAAAATACACTAACAATATAAGAACTCAATTTTTATTCACAAAAGACAGTTTTATATTCCCATGTATATACTAGAAATAGGGGAAAAAATTATAAACACATTTGTCTGTATTAAATGAATATTGATGTCAAATTAAATAGTTGAAAGGTAATCATCAAATGCCGGTTACAGTAGGTTCAAGCCTCAAAGAGAATAGATATAAAGTTGCATAAATTTTACTTTCCTGGCCCTACATGATGCAATACAAGAGAAAATGATCAAAGTAATGGCACAGTCAGATTTGTTATATACATACAAGATATAAAAAAATGATCAAAGCAATACAAAAGTATATGTATATATTTGTTATATACATATATATCTCACTTTTCTATCATTTGCAATGGAGCCAAAGATTCATTATTTTTTGTCTTGAGATAATGATGGAATAAAGCAAAATGGCTCACTAAACTGTCTGCGCTTCTTTGTTATGAAGCAGCAGTCAGTCCATGCAATTTTGGACGGGATTTTCACTATGAGTCATCCGGAAACAGTCTCTCTGTGCTTTAGTACAGGGGTAAGACTACGTACATCCGACCCCCTTACCCCACCGTAGGTGGGAGCCTTTGCGGCACTGGGGTAAATGAAAATGAATACATACCTCACAATTAGATGTTGTTGTGTTCAGCTTATTAGAAGTCGTTGACCCTTGGAAGTTAAAGAAGATCTGGACCTCTTCATAGCTTATTATCTTTGACTAAGAGTCTCACTGCATTAGTAAAACTTCATTAAGTTTTTCATTTAGTTTAATAAAATAATACAAAGTATTGCAGGTAAACAAAATTATTAACCCATACTATCTCACATTCACACAATATAATCTAATTTTATAAACCTCTATTGACATAATGAAAAGTTGTTACTAATAGACTAAAAGTATTAATATAAAAAGGTATAAAAGTTGTTATTAATACTATCAATTTTATTTGCTAAACAGTAGCAAACAACGAACTGGAATCAACTTGCAATAATTCCAACGCCATTGCAGCAATAAACGAAGAAATCTATGTAGTTTTACTCGTTCTAGATAACCCATCCGTTCATAGTTAAGACCTTAATTGTTCTACTCGTTTTAGTCTTGTAGATAAGCTACCTGTCCAAAATCAAGAGAATTATACTACCTTCCTTCCCGTAAGAGAATGTGGATAATTAAATCGATAAAAGTAAGAATAAAGTAAAATTGATTTTGAACTAATTAGACAATCTTAGTGGGATTTTATAAAGTGGGACAAAATTAGCTAATAGACTAAAATTGTAAAGGTGAAAGATTACCTCTCTTATGTTTGGAATCCAACACGGTCCACAGCCGATTCAATAGTGAACGCCGATGACCAGGAGCTGCTCAGCCTATTCTCTTATGTTCAGTTTTTCTCGAGTTCATCTCTTCGTCCATAGAGCTGCTCAGCTGCGAATTCATGGAAGGCGTATGACCTAACGACTGAGATGTGTCATGTCTAGGGTGAAGGGTGAAGGTTAGTAGGTTACCAGACTCAAGTCACAAATTCGTAAAAATGAATTACTTTCAAATGGTTCTGTTTTTGAGTTAGGGTCCGGAGATCCGAAACCGAAACCAAAACCAAAACCGAATAGAAACGGTTCAGTTTTTTCCTTTGGTTTCGGATTTTCTTGATTCGATTACTTTCGACAACGGTTCAATTATTTTTGATTCGGTTTTTGGTTTTCGGTTTTACGGATCCAGCCCTAGACTCCGGGTGACTGGGGGAGTAGTGAGAGGTATTGGGTTGATTCATGCTAGATTAAATTGGGGCTTGAAAAGTTTGGGCTGAAGTAGTGACGCAAAATTCAACCCACAAATAAAATGGGCTCGTAAACCTTCCATCAACTCTTACGAGCAAAGCAGAGAGCATCAGAGCGCCAGCGAGGAAGAAGACGCAAGCTGCTGAGTTCAGAGCTCTGCAACATCTGAAAATGGCATTTAAGTCGGTATTCGATTTTTCTCAAACTAGAGCTGAATTTGAACAAGCTGGTATCAATACTCGCTTCATCCCAATCATATGGAAGTACGCATCTATCTATCCCATTACTCATACCTGTCATCTTCTTCATTGTACTCTTTTTAAAAATCTATGTCACGATCCTACTTTAGGCACGTGATGCAGAACCCTAATTGTCAGTGGGATGAAATTCCATCCTTGCCTTCAGGAGCATACGTTCTGCTTCGTTCCAAGTTTGTACCTTTAACTTCCACCCTTCACACTGCCGATGAATCAAGCGATGGTGTTACCACCAAGCTCCTCATCAAACTTCAGGTGATTCTTTTCATTTCTCCTTCGCATTCGATGAGCTGCCACTAAATTATAAATTCCTACCTTATTGTTGGGAACTTCACTTGTGCTTGCTAAATGAGCATTACACACACTATTTTTGTTCCTATCCTTTCCAGAAAGGAGCATTTACTGAGGCTGTTATCATGAGATATGACTCACGCTTAGGAAAATATAATGGAGAACCTCGTCATGGCGGACTAAGATCAACCCTGTGCATATCATCTCAGGTTTTGCCGTTCTACATCTACTTTCCAATTATTCTTACTTAAGTGCCACAAATTTTCTAAGGGTTTGCTTTGATGTTATGATATAGGGTGATGGAGGGCAATGTATTTGACATTTTATATACAATCAAAATACAAGCGCAATATGTGATCATTTAACATTCAAATCTTCTTGGGAAAATCACACATTTAGTCTGTAATAGTCACCATCTTGAAATGTTAGACCCGTATTTCGGAGATTGTAAATGTCGTCCCTCAATTGTCCAAATTGCTGTAAATGTGGTCTTTTGAGAGGTGAAATGTACTTGTCACTCACATTGTACATTTCACCCTCAAAGGACCACATTTACATCAATTCGGACAATTGAGGGGTGACATTTACAAACTCGAGAACACAGGTCTGACATTTCAATATGGTGATTATTTGTGTGACTAAAAGTGCGATTTTCCCAATCTTCTTTTATATGATTTGACAAAATATTATTTTTATCCATATATGGAATAAGCTCTCTAAAGTATTTCCTTCCGAACCATGCCAAAACCCTCCATTTAAACGCATCCTAACCAATATCTTCCATCTCCCAAGATAACTGGATTCTGACCTTAGTCAATCTGTGCTTTAAGGTTGGATGCAAAATGGGCTGCAAATTCTGTGCAACTGGAAGCATGGGATTTAAAACCAATCTTTCATCCGGAGAGATAATTGAGCAGTTGGTGCATGCTTCTCGTTTGTCCTCCATACGCAATGTTGTTTTCATGGTATTATTGCTTATCTTCGTGCTATTTTCTTTGGAAGGTTTTGAATACCACATATTTATGATTATTTATATATCAACTTAATTGCTGGATTAGGGAATGGGAGAACCATTAAACAATTACTCTGCCCTTGTAGAAGCTATCCATGTTATGACATCGTCTCCATTTTACTTATCGCCAAGGAAAATTACGGTCTCTACGGTACGAAGAGCAACCAATTGCTTAAACTATTATACACTGATTACACTCCCAGCTTCTGATTGAAACTTATTTGTGCAAAGATGCTTTGGACTTTGTTTAAGTATTCTGTGTAGCCTTTGTTTGTTGGGAAATACGGAAGAGAGAACTGAAGAAGAAAAAAGAAGAGAAATGGTAGTTTTCAGGATATTCTTGTCAATGTTGTCATTTCCTTCTTATTCTCTCGTACCAAACACCACACAATGTTTACCATTTCTCTCTCTTCTCCAGCTCTTCCTCACACTTCTCTCTTCTTCCTTGAACCAAACAAAGGCTTAGCTGAGATGCGACTTAGCAATAATACAATAAAAGTTGCTTTGATGTTATACTAGGTTGGAATCATTCATGCCATTAACAAGCTCCATATGGATCTCCCAAATATAAACCTGGCGGTGTCCCTTCATGCACCAGTTCAGGACATCCGTTGTCAGATAATGCCTGCAGCTAGAGCCTTTCCTTTGGATAGACTGATGGATGCATTGCATGCCTATCAAAAGAAAAGGTTTTTTAATTTATCAATCCGTTATTTTGTCTCCTTCATCATAACCTTCTTTAACTAAGAATTTTCTCTCAACTTCTGATTAACTTAGTATTTATTTCTAGCCAGCAAAAGATCTTCATTGAATACATAATGCTCGATGGAGTGAATGATGACGAACAACTTGCCCACCAGCTCGGTAAATTGCTAGAAGCATTTGAAGTGGTAAGTTTCAAATGTAGTAATTAAACCATTCCTTTTAGGGATAGATGCTGAGCATGCAAAGGACAAAGAGCAAACCCTTACTTATTAAGTGTGTGTCAAACAGTAATTTTATGAATATTTCTTAGAAGACTAAAAAAGTAATAGTAGTAACACCTTTGGCAATGCTCAAATCATTCTTCATTGAATTATCTAGCCAAGTGCTAACAATAGGGTCATTAGTGTAGATTCATAATGTGGGCTGATTCGAATGCATGTAACACTTTGGTAGGTTGTGAACCTGATACCATTTAATCCAATTGGGTCCCTGAGTGACTTTAGAACTAGTAATGATCAGAAAGTGACCAGATTTCAAAAAACACTGAGGGATATCTATGGAATTCGGACGACAATTCGCAAGCAAATGGGACAAGACATAAGTGGTGCTTGTGGTCAGTTAGTAGTGAATTTGTCAAACAGGCAGTCGTTGGGGACCTGCTCAGATGTTTTAACTGATATTGAAGATCTTCACATCTAAAAGAAAACTTGTTACAGGTTAGCCCACTGTTTCCTGATGTTTGAGAATTTGAAGATTTTTGGTTGTTTTTGTATTTTGAGCAAATGCTATTCCAGCTCACTGGTAAATACAGTATTTTGGAACACTATTTTTCTCAAAATGCTAAAAAAAACATACATGAACTCTGAGTTGTTTTGAATGATACTGATTTGGTGTATCATATGTCTACATTTCTTCTGCTGTCTTCAATGCACTGGTAAATGGGTAATTTTTGTCATTCCCCTTTTGTAGGAAGAGCTCTGATGTTCCTTTCATCTTTTGCAATAGTGGACTGGGAGCATAATTGTTGTTCTTCTACACTTAACTTAATGTTTTAGTCCCCTTGGTATTGTAGTATATTGTGCATCAGAGCTGTATAAGGCTGATAAGGCTGTATCTATCCATTTATCTAAATATTATATTCATTTATCTTAGGTAGTGGAAGTTGTATAAATATGTTATGCATCTTTTACCTTCTCATGTTTGAAATTGACGTCGAATCTGTTCATGTAAACCATTGAATGAAGCGCTCTTAATGGCCGGAATTCCCGAAATAAGAGTAAAAAAGTTTGAAAATTCCCGGAATCATGGTATGAACTTAATGGCCTTTTTGTTTGGAATTTGGAGGGGAGGGGATTTGCTTTGCGGTTAACCCTATTACCTTGTTTTTTTTAAAACAACAATAACACCATTATTTGATTGCCAAGACCCTGTGCTGTGTATTGTGCCAATATTTTTTTCTGTTTCCTGCAAAAAATATACATATGAAACAAAAAAAAAACTATTCTTTGACTTTGTTTTGCTCATAAGAAACAAAACCATACTGAATCAGGATTAAACAGAGCTCTTATCATTTAGTGGTAGGAGGATATTTGGGGGAGATATTTCACGTGAGTCAGGTTGGAGCCTTTTTACTGGTTTGAATCTGGAACACCAGTTGATGAGGAGATAGATCTTTAGTTTCAGCATCCATTCTGGTCCCTATACCTCCCCAAACTAGCATGTGCCCCACATCTCCTAGTGACTCACCCTTCACGTCTTGCACCACTTTGAACCCTATTCTTTTGTAGAATCTGACCAGCTACACAATCAAAATGTAATTTATGAAGAATAACATTCACACCCGAATGACCCGAATGTCATTTCTTGATACGGAGTCATAGGTGTTGTTTGTTTCTCAGCGGGTGTAGGGGTGGACCGGTTCCGGTTCGGGCCCGGTTTGGGCCTGGGCCCGGCCGAGCCTCGGTTCATGAAGGGGAGGCCCGGAACCGGCCCGGGTAACCCCCGGGTCCGGGCCGGGTCGGGCCTCGGTTCTAATTTTTTTTTTGGGTTTTCCTAGTTAACCCCCAACCCTCCCCCTCATCCCAAACCAACCCTAACCACCTCAAATGGCTCAAAATACCCAGCCCAACCCAAAAACTTAAAAAAATTCAAAAAAATAATAATAAATTGGCCCGGCCCGGGCCCGAATCGGCCGGGTCGGTTCACCTTTTGAAGGGCCAGAGCCCGAACCGCCATCCCACCGGGCCGGGTGGCCCTAATCGGGCAACCAACCGG